GAGTTAAGTACAAAATTCGAATTTATTTTTTCAGCCATTTTGACAGCCCTAATGTTGATTATATAATTTTCAGTTTTTAAATATATTTAAATAATTAAATTTACATAAATTGTATTTAATTTATTATTTCAATTTACATTTAAATCTAAACTGCTTTTACACACATAAAGCATGGTTTTATCGCAGAGCACATTATGTAGAATGAATTTTATAAATATGCAAACACACATTCAGTACTTACCATATCTGTAGCTTTATCTTCTTTCCTTGCAATTCAACAGTTTTGATCTTAAAATCGATTCCTAAAAAGACAGAACAGAAAGACAGAAGTTGAAGAAAGACACTTAAAATAAACAGCATTCTGTGAGTTAAACAGAATATTCAATGAGAAAAAAAGTTGAATCACTGGAATTTTGTTCACTGGAAATTGATCGGATCCACCTATGCTTTCCATACTAGAATGGAGTCAGATCTGAATGTGAGTTTGCAGTGGATTGTAGGGGATCTACTCTTCTCCTGAGACGCTTTTTAGGAGGCTTTTTCATCTGGATGTTGAGGCTGAAGGTCAAGTCAAGACTAGGGCTGCACGATTAATCGAAATTAAATCACAAAGGCGATAAATCGCGATTAGGCAGAAGCTGCGATTGTCATGCGTATCTTTCAGTGAAGCACAGTTCTGTGATCAGCAGTAAATCTCCATCCGAAGGCCAGAGGGCGCTCTCACGCTGAAACTCCAAATACGCCCCGCAGAAGAAACCCTGGAAATCCCTATAGCGGTTGCATCGCGATTCGACAGAAGCTGCGATTGACGTGTCTCTTTCAGTGAAGCACAGTTCTGTGATCAGCAGTAAATCTCCATCCGAAGGCCAGAGGGCGCTCTCACGCTGAAACTCCAAATACGCCCCGCAGAAGAAACCCTGGAAATCCCTATAGCGGTTGCTGAATAAACAGAAGATTTAACTGCTTTCATTGATTCAACGTGACTAATAAACATACGACTACGGCAATATATTGGTTATCGGAGTTTGTTTTATTATAATAAAGTATATAATAATGTAATGTTAATCGACAGCCTTTATCACTGCTTAGAATACTATGAAATATGTTGCGTGCCTTATTCTGTGTAAGAAGCCACATCATCTCACAGAAGGATTTATTTCAAACACTCGACTGACGTTATGAAGTGAGTTTGGAGTAAAAACATGTTATTAAATGTGGTATTATTTTCACATTCTTTCAGATGGAGCAGCATTTACTACACAGAGCCGTAGTTCACTGAGAAGCTACGCAAACAGATTTCATAATCACAGAACGTTATCTTCGATTTCATTATCACGCGATTATATCGTCTGCGATTATGAACGTAATTTTACGTAACTTGTCAGTGAACTACAGCTCTGTGTAGTAAATGCTGCTCCATCTGAAAGCACGTGATGGAGATTTACTACTGATTACAGAACCGGCTTTACTGATGAGATGAGCATGACAATCGCATTCGATTAATCGTGCAGCCCTAAGTCAGACGGTCCAGAGCTTCTCCATATATCCCAAAGGCTACACTACTTTTCAAGCGGATTGTTATTTGCCATTATTGCTGTAATCTTTAGTACATTAACTAGCTTAAAATTATTCTGTTAACTACTGGTAACTTACTAGTAACTTGGTAAGCTTGCATTGTGTACAACCGTAGCCTACAACAATGACTAAATTATCACACTGCCTAAAAAGGAAAGTTGTTTCTGAGGCGGAACAAGTTATTACATTTGAAATATTACAAAGACAAACAATCTTTCTTGTTTGAAATAGCATACACTGATAAATCATACACAATAAGATCAGGAAACTGTATTAAGTGGGAAGGAGGGTCATTTTTATTTATTGTTGACTTCAAGGCCTGTTCACAATGTCGTCTTAAGCGACAAAACGACAAACGAGTAATTATTTTTTTGCATGCGGAATTTTCATTATTCACTGTAAAAGTGTGGGATGTGCAGGCATACATTAGTTTTCCTCTAAGGCTACTAGCGTAGGAGAAGCTTCTCCAAATGAGAAACAAACCTTAGCATTCACTGTGACACAGAAAAGTGTCAAGAAAACGCTACATTATCTATAGCAAAACCTGTATCAATTTGGCATTTCTACCAAGTTTTTTATTTTAAAAGCAAAAAAATAAACCACAAAACATGAGGCTTTGCAGAGACTCGGGCGGCTGAACGTAGCGTCACTGTTTGCTCATGTAGAGGATGAAGGGTAGAGAGATCTCTCACTTAGCAGCGTGTGTTGTTGAGACTAGCACGGACCAACACGGACAGGACAGGCAGAATGGAAAGGTTCATCTGAGAAACTGTTGAGAGTTTAATGGCCCAATGGCACAGTAAAAGCATTCAGACAGAAACTCACGCTGGAAAATGTCCTGAACTGATCGCTGGTTAGATACTGTGTTTGTCCTGCTGCACAACTTTATTAGTGATGTTTGCAGAGAGACTTGGACTAGTAAGTGATTCCGACAACACCCTAGCAACCATGAGCA